CTCTTCTTGTTTTTAGGTTCTGTTTTAGATCATGTTATTTTTCTTCCTCCTCTACTCACTGCCCTCTCCCTTATTAGTATTGAGTTCACCTGGTCTCTCTCTCCCCACACACCTGCAGTTCATCTCCCTCTCACCCTCCCAGTGTATATAACCTTGTCTGTGTCTCTGTATGTTTGTCGGTCCATTGTTTTTTCTGTCAGTCTCGTCTCGTTTTTGGATCTCTAGTGTTAGTAGTGCTTCTTGAGTCTCTGGTGTGTTTTTGGATCTCCAGATCAGTATTTGGATATTTTTGGTTTTTGGCTTCCTGCCCTTTTGGATTTATTTTTTTGTTTTGGGCCATCCTAAATAAAGGATTTTCTTAATCTCCACTCCTGCCTCGTGTCATCCTGGGTTCTGCATTTTGGGTCCTAACCTCCTCCTTGCTCGTATCGTGACATACATGTTCTCTCAGAGACTCAGTGGTACAGGCCATCCGAGTCCGAGGGCCTCTTCCTTCGCCGCCCATGCCTGACGCCAGAGCGGACGGATGTGAGGGTAGAGAACTTCTCCAGCCTATTTACAAATGACAGTGTCCCTGAGGGGGCGAGCAAAGATGATTTGCGCGGGCGACAGGTCGCAGTCGGGGTCAGGCGTATTACGCAGTTGCAACATCGCACGCAGAAAGCGGTCATGGTCGAGGCTCCCGGTCGGGCCGGTGTTTGAGACTAGTAGGCACTTCGCCGTCTTGACAGCCACCTCCGCCCTTCCATTAGACTGGGGGAACCCAACCGAGGACACGCGGTGCTTGACCTGCCATAAGCGGAGGAAGTCCGCTGTGCACCCTGCCGAGAACTCCGGGCCTCCGTCACTTGACAACTCCTCGGGCACACCAAACGTGGCGAAGAAAGCCCTTAAGTGATGGATAAGCCCAATGGAGCCCCCGAGATTGGTGCCCGGGGGAGAGTTCATGACTTCCACCCAGCCGGAGAGGCGATCGCCAACGACCAGGTAGTGGTGACCCCTGTAGTCGAAGAAGTCTGCGAACACCTCCTCAAATGACGTGGATGGCGGTGATGCCGGCATGGGAGGTGTGTCCGCCTGCGAGGGTGCATTGCGGTTACAGCCTGCGCATCGCTCCCTGGTCAACTGGATGTCGTTAGACATCCCAGGCCAGTATACGATGGAGCAGGCCCGTCGTTCCATTGCCGACTTGCCCTGATGGGCGGCGTGGAGGTGTTGAAGTACCGCACGACGAAGGGACTTGGGGACAACGATGCGGTCACAGTACAGCAGGACCCCATCTTGCGCATACACTGACTCACAGACCTTAGACAGGTCAGCCAGCGCCAGGTCCTTTGGGTCAATGCTGCCCCCGTCTTCAATGAGGTGCAGGAGGTGGGAGAGGCATGCGTCCGTGACCGTCTCCTGTGCAAGGAGTGGCCATGCAATTGCAGCAGACTCCAGTGCGTCGTTGCAAATGGACGCCATATGCACCGACTCCTCGCTATTGGTCACATTCCATGCGCCCATGCAGCGGCCCTCATCAGAGCCAGAGAGCGAGGGATACCTGGAGGCTGCGTCGGCAGCGCAGTTGCTCTTGCCAGGCAAGTGTACAATATCAAAGCACCATGGGAGTGTGCTCTGTCTGAGCCTGAACAGGCGAGAGTTAGTTATCTCATCCAATGTCCGGTCCCCAAGGATCTTCACTAGGGGCTTATGGTCGGTGACCACGACCAGGTTGTCGCACCCCTGCATGAAGTATCGGGTCTGCTCCAGACCCCATGCTACAGCCAAGGCCTCCCCCTCAATAGCGGCTTATCGCTGCTCAGCGGAGGAGAGAAAGCGTGAGCCAACCAGAGTAATTTTCCATCCTTCCGGACAGCAGCCAGGGACATCGGAGCTGCAGGTGCAGTGCTGCTGGAGGAGAAAGTATCCAATGCCACGCCTGGACCAGTCTGGGAGGAGACAAGTGCGCCTCTCCATGTCGTAGATCTCTACGCCTGCCCGGATAGAGTCCACGATGGCCAGCTTGGATGCCTGAAATGCTGCCTCTAACTCGGGTGACCACACAAATTTGCATTGAGGGCTCAGAAAGGGCTTAAATGGTGCCATTATATCACGCAGCTGCACGTAGTTGGCCACCTGATTGACCAGACCAAACCAGCTCCTGCTGTCCGTGGTCAAGGTAGGCGTGGGGAAGTCCCTGATGGCTGTCAGGTACTTTGGGAGAGGCCCGATTGTACCATCAGAGACCCTGAAACCAGCAAAATCAACGTCCTTCTCGGCAAATTGAAACTTTGATGGGTTCAACACGATGCCGGATCGGCCAGCGTGCATCAGAAAGTCGATTGTTCTCCACCAATGAATGTTAAGGTCAGTGTCACCCGGAGAAGGCCTTCTACCCTTTTCTGAATCAATACCATGGTCTCAGATTTAGAGGAGCTGATTCTCAACTCAGCTGCAAATCGCTCCAGCGAAAGATCACGTTCTGATGAAGCCAACAGGACCACATCAGCTATGTTAGTTTTGTCAGTCAAATAAGGTCGTTCTAAAGACCCACAAGCTTTCTACCCACGCCTCTTTGATGCGTACTTCGGTTCAGAATGTAAGATGGGGATGGAAGATGAAAACGGTTTTAAAGAGCTTTTCCTTTATAATTTGCATCCTCAGTACGGCCCCTATATGGGTGTGGCAGACCTTGAAGTCAACTCCATGGACAAACTCGGGAAAATGGCAAGTTATAGCTTCAGGTGGTACACAGAAGCAAGTGTACGGACACCTTTTCGGTCCTGGCGGTGGGGGCAGATCCCTCCATGCTGCGACTCGAAGTGACTACATCAGGGACTCGAAAAGGTAATAACCGCAGACCTGGTGCTAAGTCACAGGTCCAGAAGCCCTATAACAACTTCAAGCGGAGAGGCTTTCCTACTAACAGGTCTCAGAGTTTTGCCAGAGCTCGGAGCCCCCCACCGGCTCGTGAGGGGGACCTTAAGTCACCACGACTTGGTTGTGACAGACATCGTGTTTCTTTTAGAGACAAGGGGGATTCATCATACTACTCTAGGGGAGAGTCGTCTTGCTCAGGTGAGCGCTGATCTGCCTCTGACCAGTATTCACCATGCCATGGTCGCAGGGACTCCAGTCCTACCCCAAGGCCGAGATCTGATTCTGGGGGGTTTGTCTCCTGGAGCAGTTCGCGCCGCACTGAGTTCTGCACTTTGTGCCCTGATGAAAGATCCATCTTCATGTGAGTCGGTTCTGTCCATCTCTTTGGCAGAAAAGGGTACACACCCTCCTCCACCTCTTGAACCTATACGTGACTTGGTCGTAGCAGCAGGTCCTGCAGAGGCGAAGCATGCAACAACTGCGCGTCCGATGACACCTGTGACCTCGGCGAGGTCTGGTGTGGTCGCTTCCGTCAGCACTGGTCCACTGGTCCTCTAGCATCCAAAGCACCTGCCACGTAACCCGGTGAGCCTGGCTCACCAGTCAGACTTACGCTAAGGTTTCTCTGCGATATCGTACGTGAGGGTCCTAATGAGAAACCTCACATTCTGGTGACCCTGGAGGGGGCGCTTGACTGTGAGGGTATCTTGGACTCTGGTTCAGACTTCACCATCATGTCCAGTTCTCTTTTGGAGCATGTCCGCTTGACTACGGCTGGACAGGGTCATGTCTTAGAGCTCACGGCCTGCACTGTGGAAATCTGTCCTTACTCTTCAGGCCAAATGACCTTGTCAAATGTGGTGTTCCTAAGCATCACAGTGGGTGACATGTCCGTGAACCATCCAGTGTTTGTGGCTGACCTCGAGGCTTTTCCTTTCCTGTTGGGGGAGGACCTGCTCCGACGCTTTAAGGCTGTCATTTCATTCGGTGATTGGACACTCCGAACTCGGTTGGCTCAACCAACACCCATGGCGCCTCTTGAGGACCTCATTCCCTCTTTAGGTTTTTTTAAATACAACGGCGCTGCCAGAGTGACCAGTCGATCCAGTACCTCTAAGGTCAGTGACATCCACAGTGTCTGCGTCGTCTTTGCAGCAGGATCACTTCACCTTGTGGTGGGAAAATCACCTACCCTAGGGGGAGTTGACGGTTGCAGTGACACTTCATCTGAGACTCCGCACCCTGCGGTGGGAACACCATCTGCCAAAGGGGGGGTTAATGGTGGCGCTGAGACTCCAGCTGAAGCCCAGCACCTCGTGGTGGGGGCCCCATCTGCCGAAGGGGGGGGCTGATGACGTCACTGATCCCACACCATTACTGGTTGACCCTGATCTCTCTGACTGCACCTGCGCGTCGACCGAGGGCCCTCCTGTGCGTACACCTGTGCCAAACCCTCGTAAGGCCGCGTCTGGCTACAGCCTAATGCGTTCTTGGTTTCAGTTTTCAGGACTGACATAGTATCTTTTGCTAGTTGCGTGTGTCTGTCTGATGTCAACCGCAGCTAAGCTTCCTTCACAGCCTCCTCTAACGCGTCTGTACGAACCTGGACCCTCTTCAGGTATCACACTCCGAGAGTGCCCAGGTCTGTTAATGACCAACTACCGCCTGTTCACACAAAAGATTTTTGTTAAATTTGACCCCGCTATGACGTGTATTGACAAGATGATGAATGCCTTCGGCAACCTCTTGGAAACCGGAGCCCGCTGGACCCTGACGTAGCACTCAGAAGCTGACGTCCATCACATACTATTCTAGGCACATTAAGTGTCCTAGTTGTCATGTTTTACTTGTTTAGAAAATAAATTTCTTGCTTTTTAAACTTCTCTCTTCTTGAATTAATACAGCGTCTTACAATGCCTGAATAAACAAAGAATTCTAAATCTTCTGGTTAAACAAAGACCAGACTGGATTTCCATATTTTCACAGAAATTCATAAATTGGTCAAGGTGTAGGGTAGTACATAAAGCTTTAAAAGCACCCAAAATACACACATATTCTCCTTACACATTTCTATTGGTCACAAGTGTCGGGTGAGTTTCTGTGCGCAGTTCAAAGTTCACATTCAACTTAAGATGTCTTTTTCAAAGTCCTTTTATTTGGAAAGTCAGAAGATTCAGATCAAATGCAGAATTCACTGTTTCAGACACAAGCTAACACCAACATTCATCATCTTTATTTAATCAAACATCTGGATCTCACAGCAGCAGGCCAACCATCGTACAGAATCAAGTCCAACGCCGCAGCAACAGAAGGATCTCAGACAGGTTGTTTATAAAAGTGAACAAATGTGTGACGCAAACTGCTTTAACAACTAGCGGGTTTAAATCTGATCCAACAGAAAATTCTTCCTCTGAAAACATTTAAGGCACTTCTGGCTTCACTCCAGGTCTCTGCTGTTTTACTGAATCAGCAGAAATGTTTTAAAGTGCTTTGGGGTCAAAATCTCCCGTTTTATACGTTATGATCCAAATGTTGACTGACCTGAACTAGAAAGCCACCAAACACATATAAACACAGAATAAAAAACCAGACTTTCGATTTCCCTTTAACGTCGACTCTTTAGTTAACTTTAGCAGGCAACAAGGTGCTTTTTGGATTATTGTGAAGACGAAACAATAAAAAGATGTAAGAATGCTATTTTTAAGTCTAAAAACAAATATTCTCTGAAAACGTTTATTGCAGCAGTACATCAATGCTAGTGGTCCTTTTGGTGACAGAAACACTTTGGATGCAGTCCTGAAACAAAAGCTCAACTCTTTGTACAACGAGCTGTAAACCACACCAGGAGGCGCCGCTCCTCTAGTACGGAGGAGGGTTCTGCAGCTCCTCGTACTTCGGAGTAGGGTTCTGCAGCTCCTCGTACTTTGGAGGAGGGTTCTGCAGCTCCTGATACTTGGGTAGTCCTGGGGTGAAGGTGGTGGGAATGCTGAACAGGATGGTGGTTCTTGCGGGGCGACGCAGCTGATGGATCATGATGGAAGACAGAATCAGACCGACAACCTGCACAAACAGATGAACCCCATGAGACGAGTACAAGGACCAGCTTTCCTGCACATGACGGAGCTCAAACACCTCAGTCACAGAGACGGATTACACAATCAGCTCAGTCGGGAACAGTAAGGAAAACCCCTCCTGACTAACCATTCCTGGCTCAATCGCACGTGTTATGGTTTATTAATCCTTACAGAATTTGGTCTCTTTGCTGCAACACCTTTTCTGTTGAGGAACCAAACAAGAACTGGCTCCTATTCTGATAGAAAACATCTGATGAAGATGTCCGTCATGCATGGCCGAGTTGTGGTTTTTTACTTTTGTATCTAGAAAGGTCTCAAAAACGATGAAAATGACCCAAAGCAGCACAGAACCCGTGTATGTGTGTGTGTGTTGGGGGGGGGGGGCTGTGAAGCACAAATACCAAACAGAGCAGCATTACTACTAATTCAATATTACATTGTATTTTCTTCAGTACTACCCTGAAGTCAGAGGCGGAGCCACGGCACGGTTGAAGAGGGTGTCTACTTAAAAACAGACGTGTTGCGCCACCTGCTGGCCAGGTTATGGTCTCATAGACTCCGAATCAGCTGAAGGAAACCCGATTCTGACGACATTTAAACCAGATCAAAGGTTTGATGCGACTGTAAAGACTAAAGCGATGGTGGTGACGGCCAGAGGCACAGCTTAAGCTGCCTTGCAAACAAAGGAATAAATAAACCGGACTTCTGTAGCAACACCCGGGACGAGTCAACGGGCCGTTTGTTCTACAGCGATAAAGTTTATAACTACGGTCCATGTCAGGTTTTTTTGTTATTCTTACATTAAAGACGCCTTTGAAGGCCAACACGAGAAATCTGAGGAATGTTGACTTAACACAGTTTGGCCCGATGCATTTTCCTGTTGTGACGTGAAATCATTTCTGAGCAGAACTTCAGAGAAACCGCTTGCAGGGAAATGCTCCTACTCACCGCCAGGCCAGCCAGGGTGAAGACCACTCCAATCACAAAGTCAAAGCCCATGAAGACGTAGTGCATGATGACGGGGAAGCAGGTCTGCAGGAGCAGGACACAGACAGCCCTCAGTCTCCACCATCAGCTGTAACTAGCTAGTCAACAACCTCTACTGACCTGCGTGTAGACGGACTTCCTGTTCTGTTCGTCTAGGTACGAGTAAAAGGTCATAGATCTCTGTTAAAGTAAACAAAACAAACTCATGAGTGACATGAGAAGTAAACCAGACGGGCTGTGACGGTCCGACACTCACCCTGTAGCTGACCAGCTGGCACTCGTCCTTCTCCGTAGGAACGCACGAGCAGGAGTCGGGGATGGCATCATTCCAGTCTCTGTAGCTTACCAGGCCGCAGCAGTGCAGCTAAAACCACAGAAGAAGAAATGTGAGTGCAGCTGGAGCGCGCAGCTCTACCATTTCCAGGGTGCACACATTACAACACCTGTCGCTGTCCGCTTTAAAACGCACCCAAACTACAGACGTGTTAGCCTAGCGATGGCCTGCTAGCTGATAGATGCACGTTACGGTGTCTGAATCCCACCTGCCCTAAACGGTCCTGTCACGCCGTTTCAGAGCCACCGTAATTCTGTTTGAGAATCTCTCCTCCGGACGAACAGCTAAGAGGTCAGAGAGTTTTAACAGACATTTACACCAGAATCCTCATCGAAGGCTGGAAACCACCCACCAGCTCACGGGAGCGCCTACATACGGGCTGGAGAAAAGTTGCTCCTCACGCCGAGCCTTCAACTCCAACAGCAGCAAAAACACAGAATAGAGTCAATAAGATATGATGCAAGATCAAAGGTTTCACTGTGAAACCACTTCCTGATTGCTGTTCTGCTTTCTTGTGTTTTAGTTGTAGTGAAAACAACTTCCTGTAAAGAACCGCCTGCCTTCTGAAGACAGGAAGTACTACACGAGGAGCTCCACCCAGTAAAAACCAGATCAAACCTGCAACAAACGGACCAATCAGGATGTTTCAGAGCTAAGGAACCACCATTAAACTTCCGTTGCCTCGGTTAACGGAGAGTGAAACCAGGTGAAGACGAGCTGAATTTCATGGCTGGAAGAAGAACGCCAAACTTCTGTAGTTGTGTTTAAGCTCAACCCCAAACTGCAAATGGACGTTTGTGGCTTCTGGACCGACTCGGACTAGGGACGCTTGATATTGGCTCTTTGCTCGATATCCAACCGGCATGAAAGCTGATGTCTGCCATGCCCTCACCCCTACAGAAACAGCTGCTCAGTCATATTTGTGTTTACTGCGCTGGTGAATACGGTGTGGTACTCTTAGGGTTTGGGCTAGGCCCGGCAGGACGTAGCTGCAGGACACCCAGTCCCGTGACTCGTCTGGGGTAGACGTGAATAGTTGATCGTTACCAAGTAAACAGCTTTTGTTACCGTTATGAGTTAGATGTATTGAAACGGGCCGTCTGAGCTTGTGGGCTAAAAGAGGAACTGGGATTGTTACAGGAATCATCTACAGGAAGTCCAACGTTATCTTGGCCAATTGGAGAAGTGGAACCGGTGTGTAAGGGACGAAGGAGCAACATGTCGATCGAAGCGAAGGTTGAAATGATCCAAAGGAAACCTGGGTAATGGTGTAGAGTGTTACGTGAGCACACAAGCTCTGCCTCGTTGCGGTGACTGGACTGTTAGAGACGGGATAGTTTCATTCTGGGGGCCGACAGGATGTGAAGGAAGTCCCTAACAAGTGGATCCGGAGAAAAGCAGAACAAAGCTAACTCAGGTGTTTGCTAGCCATCTCACCTATAAGAACCCACTCGATAGGCCAAATGGATGAAGAGCTCCATTTGAGTAAAAACTTCATCCAAACAAATCCTCCCCAAACGCCTCAGAGCCATCGTTTTAACGTTTGGGGGGAGTTTGGTGTGTGACGCCATTAACAGACGGAAAGACATTACATTTTAACACAGATATTAACAGTAAAATCAATAATATCAGACATCCCAAACTCAGACGTTTGAGTTTATTTATCATCTGTGCGAAATGTAATGTGATTTATAATAATCCAACCCTAAACACAACTATACAGATTAGGATTATGAAATTTGGCACACTCATGTTGTGTCTACGCCCGTCTCTCTCCCAGTTAAATGGTCACAGGCCCAAGTGCTCGACTGACCGCTGGTACTTCTGAGGCCTTGACTAGAAATATCTTTTACATATTTTTGTGAACAGACCCATAAACCCTCATTGTCTCCATAAATCACCATGTTGTCATAAGCCTGTGGAAGTTCATAAGTGAAATGTATTCACGTTCTCGTGTTTTTCTTATTTTTGAAGTGAGACTTTTCTTCGGAGGGTAAAATCAAAACGTTTGACTTACTTTTCGTGTTCACCAGATGCAGGGAAAGGTGTGTCCTCATAAACCACCAAAACGTCAGAGGTTCCATAAACCATAAATGCACGTACGTGTGTGTGTGTGTGTGTGTAGCTGGTTTTGTAGACCAGTTCCTTTCTACATGGTTAAGTACTTACATAACCTAATGTTTGTGGTAGTGTACAATAATGTTGTATATTTACCTTTGAATTAAACACTCGTTTCTGTTCTCATTTATTACTGTAAATCCATCTTTTGCTGGAAAAACTACATTTAAAATTATGGAAACTCAAGTTTCTCAGCAGGAGTGTGTGTGTGTGTGTTTATTTCATCTCTCTAGTCTGTTTCGATACACAAACATCACCACATTTATCAACTGCGGTGTTTTATTTTGAAATTTGTCTTTATTTTGATAAATTTACCAGCCTGCCGCTTCTGCTTTGGTTCGACTTCCTGCGAGTTTTGATGTGGCTCACGAAAAAATGTGAGCTCACGCCGAAACGATCGCTGCACGGCACGAGCCTACATGGCGCTTCGCGGCAGATGTGACTGAGACCGTAGGTTAGCAAGGGCGCCAATTAGAAGCTGCGCATCATCCTGCTTCTGCATCTGATGGGATCCAAAATGTCCCGGACACCGAAACTAGAATGAACAGAGCTCGAGTGAAGCAGATAGCGTCTCACCTGTGTCTGCAGACTGTCCGCCAGGAGCTTCACCTCATCGGATGCCGTGTTCAGAGGCAGGGCTTTGGAGAAGCGCCCGAAGAGCTCGCCCTCCAGCTGCAAACCAAAACAAGTTCTTCATCAGAATCCCAATAATCAGTTTTATTCTCCTTTAAATGTCAACAACAATGAAATTAAATTTAATACATTTGATGCAAAATGTGGAAATTTAATCATATTTAATAATAAAGAACATTTTCTGGGATGAGGATCGGCTCCTCTAAATCTGGGACCGTGGTCTTGAGTAGGGTTTGATTTTGAACGATTCCGATTCTTTGAAGACATGACGTGTTTTCCATGAGCCAGCTAACCACAGGTCCTACTCGATGAAATAATCTCGACTTCAGCATGAATTTTAACTCTATTATCAATAACATCACCTTCATTTAGACAAAAACATGCTTTGGAGGAAAAAAAGAGAAAGCACAACCAGTGTGTTTGTTTACAAGCATCACTTTTGTTTTGAACGAGACTAAAGCCGGTGCCTCGACACGTCAGTAACATGCCGCTTTTGCTGGAAACTAGTTTCACAAGCTCCTTTCCTCACGACTCTACCTAAATGGTCCCGTGAAGCTCAGCTAACCCAGATTTAAACACGGGAGCAGGGTTTTGGGGCCTTCTGAACCACACGGCTCGGTGTTGTGCCAACCTGTTAATGTCCTGTGCAGACGAACAGCACCGTTACCTGTGGTCGGAGAAAAGCAGCTGGGACTCCGATCCGGATCATCAGCAACGCTCCAATGACCATGAACACCAGAAACTAGAGTTAAACAGAAGGATAAACAGGTCAGTGTAACCTGTTGGGGAATTTTCACGACTAACGACAACCACACAGTTCCAGCTCCTCCACCAAAAACAGTCTAAGGATCATGAACAGAAACATGAATGCACCAGCTGCTACACTGCTAAGAAGGAAATGAGATGTTGAACAAGAATAAACTAGAGCTTCCTGTTTTATTCTGCATCCGATCTCAGCCCGTAGTGTGAGCTGCAGAAGGATCTCTTTCATCACTATTTCACCCGAGTCATGACTCATGGAGGATGCAACATCGTAGTCCGTAAATCTGGAAATCCCTGGATGCTGAAACTCACCACAACCAGACACACTTTGTTCTCCTTGAAAGCTCCGTAAGCTCCCAGGAGGGCGATCAACATCGTGCTGGCTCCAATCACATAGAGGAGGATGAGGCCAGAGGTCCGGTTCTCCATCTGCCAGAGCAACAGGGAGCAGAAACGTTACGGCTCAGGATTTAACAGGTCAACTCTCCTGTTTTCTCACCATTTGTTCCTGATTCACGTTGGTGAAGACCTGAGACAGCATGGCAAGGCCGATTATGACCCCACCCACGATCTAGAAGGGAACAAAACCAGAAACAATATTTCAGAGGATCCTAGGGTCTGCAGGTGTCAAAAGCACATTACAAACGGGATTATTCTGGTGAAAGCTGACGATCTGTTCTCTAGTTTGCAGCATTCTTGTAGATCTGATGTTCAGATGATTGGACAAGGATTAGACTTCCTACAAATGAAAACTAGAAAAGCCAGTTTGGACGTATTTAGTGTTCAGAGACAAGCTGACGGAAAACCACGCAACCTGATCCGCTCGTACAGGCCACGCTAACACAACAACAACAACAACAAAAACACTCGTTGGTCTTCAGACCAAAAGTGAACTAAGAGTAAAATATGTCTTCCCATCTTTTACATGCAGGTTTTCTTTTCTCAATAGAAAGTTCTACATCCAACCGTGACAGAACCAAACCGGGCAAAGAACCCGTCAGGTCGGTTTTAACACGTAAAAGACAAGAAAGGCTTTGAAAATGGAGCTAACTGAGCAGAAATCCCGAAAGCAGAACAGGAAAAGTTCTAAACTAAAAGATTAAACGAGATAAATCCTCGCATTAAACTAGCTAGTTTAAACCTCCCCGTGAGCACAGTAGCAGTTTATCTATTACTCAACTAAAGCCTTTGTTTACGCGTTCCTGTGTGTTTTTGTGATTATCTGTCAGAAGGAAACAGAAACAGCTAAACGCTAACAGCTAACTACGCAGTAAAAAAAAGGCAGAGTAGCGGAACCAAAGACGCCATTTTTACAGTTTTAAAGCCGCTGACTTACCGCGAAGAAGAGGTTAAACGCGATGAAGATGCGTTTCAGGCAGCTGTTCACCTGCGCCATGTTCGCGGCTTCACACTCCACAAGCAAACTTTTACTTTTTAACAACTTTGAGTCCGGAGGGAGAAACACGACGTCAGGAGCGAAAGTGTCCGGAAGTCAGGGACAGGAGGCGGGTTAAGAGGAGCAGCGCGACGGGGCGGGGCTTCCATGGAACCAAGACACTTCCAGGGATGCTGTCGGGAAGAGGAGTGGAAAATTCCTACGGGGCTTCCATGGAACCGACACTTCCAGGGATGCTGTCGGGAAGAGGAGTGGACAGTTCCTGAAGGGCTGACAGGAAAGAGTGCAGGGATTAGGGAAAGCTGTGACGCTAAACCATTAAATGGGGAAAAAACACCATAGCGAAGCAACAGTTTGGTCTGCTAACGAACTTGTTCTGTCCAAGTAAAAACGTGAAAGAACAAAAATGTAAAAAAATAAAAAGATTTGTAATAATATTAAAAACTATAAAAATACAAAAATGTGGTAAAAAAAAGGGTAAGAAAAGAGGGAAATCAGTGGATCCCAGGAACTAGGAGAAGGCTTTGGTCACTGGACCTCAGGGACCTGCTGGGGGTGTAGGGACTGAGGAGATCTGAGTGAGAAGCATTTTAAATAGGATTCCAGGATTTAAGACACAGCCATGAACCTGACTCCCATCCTGTTCCCATTGTAATGACATCAAAGTGTCTAGCATCATGTGAAAGAGGGAAAACAGCAGGCAACAATGTGAATCTGCATTAACTCCGCAGGTTTCTGTGTGTTCTCTATGAAGGTGCTCAGTCATCCGGGCCAGAACCATATTTATATGATGGTCAGAACTAAACAATGTGTGTGTGTGTGATTGTTTGTCCTGTGCGTCTCTGTGTTGCCCTGCGATGAACTGGCTCTCTGACCAGGGTGTACCCCGCCTGCTGGCCCATTGACCTCTGGAGATAGGCACCACTATTTGTCAGCTCAGATACTTTACTACAATAAAACAACAAACATATAAGTTGCAGTACATATTATAAAAACATACAAAAAATAAGTGAGGGAATTAATAAACTTGATACCCCTATTTACAGTATTTATTTCATATTTTTATTTGATTGCTTGCTTGAGTCGCTGTACTACACAGTTTCTACCAGCAGGCGGTGCAAATAAGCAAGTTGACGAGGAGTCTCGTTTATTCGCGCGATATTTCTCTGGAAGTACCGCGAATTCGACCAGTTTGCTGAACATCAACCGGCATCAACTTGCGCGGAGCCGGACTGGATTAGCAGGTAAAGACAAACGCTACAAGCGACTTAACCAATTATTTTAGTCGGTTCTAACAGCGCTGAGTTCACTAAAGGCCACTCAATTTGTTTTTGGTTTTCTGTTAAGCATGTAGCGAGTTAGCCAGCTAGGGTACTTGTTTTCCTTCGCTAATTAAACAGCCGGGGCGGCGTAATATCCCTAAAAACTCAAAAACAACGGCATATTCACCGGTAGGATGCTAACTGCGAGTTTAGCTAAAAGCCTGGTTGTATGCTAACGTTAGTTTTATTTTTCTTTTGGTTTCGTTTTGTCTCTCAGTGACGTAGGATATGTCGAAGCGGGGAAGCACATCGGCCGTTGAAAATCCAAACAAACGAATCAGGTCTTCGCCAAATGACGAAGAGGAGGGCTCGGATGTTGTTGAGAGCGATCAAGAGGAGGATTCCACCCTGAGTAACCGGGTGAGTAAGGTCTCTGGCATGCAATAGAGGCACCTTCTTCTCTTTAGCTGCAGTTACCCAGCTGTAGTTACCGGTCGTTGACATGAATCCTGTGTTTAGTTCCTGTGTGCCGGTGAAGTGGTTAGTGATGCAGGACTCGTGGAGAGCATCACTCTGAAGAACTTCATGTGCCACTCACACCTGGGTCCTTTTGCTTTTGGGTCCAACGTGAACTTTGTTGTTGGAAACAATGGAAGTAAGTAAATACCCCAAACTAGCCAGGAGTGGTCCCTCGCCCCCTTGAACTTTCATGTGTTCATTTTTTATTGTGTCATTCTTACAGAGCTTCATAGGGTACATTTCTGTTCTGTTCATCTGTTTTAGCCCAGAATCCTGAAATCGTGTTTCTGTTGTGGAAAGGCACTGATAATTATTGAGTTGTTTACCACATTCAATTAAGCGTTTACTCGGGTATTACCACAGGTTACCATGTTTGTAGTTTGTATTTGTAGTCATTATTAAGCCAGTGCTGTTATTACCACATCTATAACAATGAAAGAAGACACAATAAAAACTCCTACTGTTTCATATTATACACGTATTGTTGATATTTGCCATTTAAATTTAGCAGTACCACATCTAAACAATATCTACGGTTTAGGAGAGCAACTCTTCATTTACACGTTTGATTAGAATCACAAAGTACTTGACACTGTAAGATCAAAGCGAGTCGCCCCTTAATCGGAAGGTTGCAGGTTCGAGCCCGCTCAGTCTGTCGCTGTGTCTTTGGTAGGGTTGGGCATCATTTGATTTTGAACGATTCCGATTCCTCGTTTCGATTCCAGCTCCGGTTCCTATCGATTCCAAATTCCGATTCTTTGAAGACATTCCATGTTTTACATGAGCCAGCTAACCACAGGTTCTACTTGATGAAATAATCTTAACTTCAACATGAATTTTAACTCTATGAACAACAACATCACCTTCATTTAGACTAAAACATGTTTTGGAGAATAAAGAAAAAGACTTGCAGCACAACCAGAGTCTGGAAGCAGCCTCTGGGATGAGAGGCTAAATGTCTCCAACATATCCAGAAACGTGCAGATGTCTTCAGCTAAAACTCTCAGGATGATCATGTCCAGGATGCCTGAGAGCTACACCTCCATGCTGCAGCAGCTTCAGTCACAACAGGAAGTGAAGCTTAAACGTAGCTGCTGTCAGTAACAAGCTAACAGATTTAAACATTAAAACTCAACAGAAATAGTTCAGAAAGGAAATTAAAATGTTATTTATTATTATTATTATTATTTATTGTGGCAGAAGCTGGTGTGGTTCAGCCTTCTGACGCTCCGTGCGTGTTGTTATATCTGCAGTGAGATAAACTCACCTCACAGCGTCCAGAGGTGTTCTGTTCTCCACACCTTCATCTCCTCACGCTTAGACTACTGTAACTCTCTTTTCACGTGTCTGAGCAGAACCTCCCTGAACCGTCTACAGGTGGTTCAGAACGCCTGTGCTCGGCTTCTGACCAAGTCCTCCAAATACACCCACATCACCCCGCTTCTCCTCCAGCTTCACTGGCTGCCAGTCAACTTCAGGGTTCATTTCAAGATCCTGGTTCTGGTCTATAGGGCCTTACATGGACAAGCACCATCTTACATTGGTGATCTTCTTAGTCCCTACACCCCCAGCAGGTCCCTGAGGTCCAGTGAACAAAGCCTACTGGTTGTGCAGCACCAGGCTAAAGGTCAAAGGTGACAGATCATCTGCTGCTGTGGCCCCCAGACTCTGGACCTCTCTCCCCGTGAGCCTGAGATCAGTGGACTCAGTGGTCTCCTTTAAAAAGCAGCTGAAGACTCACTTGTTCAAGCTGGCTTTTGTATGACCTTCTTCACCTCTCTCTCTTTATTCTGCTCTCCCCACCTATTCCACCTTCCTCAGGATCCACTGGTTTCCCTCTTTCCTGTTCACTCTCTCTCTTTCTTTACATTTTTAATCACAATTGTCTATTTTTGCTCATTTTAAATATATTTTTAAACATTTTCGAAATGCTTTTTTATATTAACATTTTTTGTTTTTGAGAAGCGCCTCGTGATTTTTATCTTGAGAGGCGCTATAGGAATGATATTTTCTTCTTCTTTAAAGCTTCTATTAACTCCACCATGTTGACGTATTTAACACGTTTCCTCTACGCTGCAGGAGTTAAAGTTTACATCACGGAGTTAAAGTTCAGCAGACGCGTTTGTTTATATCCAGGGGGGGGGGGGGGGGGGGCTCGGTGCTGCACACAGACAGCTGGTGTGATCAGCTCTGAAATGCGTTGATCACAATTTGCAGATCACGTTTGTTTTTCACGGAGATCGGCCGCGGATTCCTCTTCCGTTGGCATTCTAGGAATCGAAATAAAAAACGTTGAGCGATTCTGGGAAAATGAACTGTTGGAACCGGTTCCAGTCGATGCTCGATGCCCAACCCCGCCTTGTCTGCTGGTGGTGGTCGGAGGGGCCGGTGGTGCCTGTGTACGGCAGACTCGCCTCTGTCGGTGTGCCCCAGTGCAGCTGTGGCTACAATGTAGCTCACCACCATCAGTGTGTGAATGACTGATTGTGTTGTAAAGCACCTTGGGGGGTTCCAGGACTCTAGAAGGTGCTACATCAAATACAGGCCAATTACCGTTTTATTTACCATTCTAACAGGTGGGAAGAGTGCCATCCTGACAGCTCTCATCGTTGCCCTAGGGGGGAATGCACAAGCCACAAACAGAGGTTCCTCTCTGAAGGGCTTTGTGAAAGAAGGAGAAAGGTGAACATTCAGATGTTGGACATTTCTCATGTTTTTTGTACGAGTCTTATTTTTTTGGTCTTTTGAAGATATGTTGACCTCTTAGTCACAACGTTTGTTGCTTAACGGACTGTGTCAGATGCTGAACT